TAGATCCGTATCATCCACTACGTTCACATGTTTGCCTTTCTGCTCTCCTTTCTTTTTGGTGAAACATTGTTTGGCAAAATGATTTTTTCCATGGCAGTTGGAGCATACTTTCCCAAACGCAGGACATTGCTTCGGCTTGTGCTGTGATCCGCAGCGTTTGCATAAAAATGTGCTGTCCTCACTGGCCCGCTGGGCAGTCCGGGTCGGCTGGCGGCGTCTCCCCCTCTGAAACACGGCACCGATTCCCGCTCCGTCACTCACGGTTGGTGTCACACTTGGCATCTCACTGAATGTTTTCATGTGTTTTTGGGATAATTCGCTCGCTTGGCATATTTTTATAGCCATGTCTAGCGACAGCTCGGACTCGCGGAGAAGTCTCTCCCTTAGCTTTTTGTCTTCAACTCCAAAAACAATCTGGTCTCTGACCATGGAGTCCTTCAGTGTCCCAAAATTACACGGCTGCGATTTCAGATGCAGGGCTGTCAAAAAACTGTCAAATGGCTCATTCTGCAGCTGCATACGAGACCGAAACATGTATCTCTCATATGTCTCATTTTTCTTCGGAGTGCAGTGAGCATCAAATTTAGCAAGCACAACGTCCATCTTTTCCTTATCCTCTGCCGTCTCAAACACAAACGTATTATATACTTCAATGGCCTGTGGCCCTGCAAGGGTTAGCAAAAGCGCTACCTTTCTTGAATCCGGCTTTGTATCCAGCCCCATGGCCGTAACATACAAGCTAAAGCGTTGCTTGAATGTACGCCAGTTTTCGTCGACGTTGCCCGTCAGCTTCAGGATCTCTGGCGGTTTCAAATCCATGTTGGCTTCTCAGTTTACTCCTGGTACCATGTCGTGTTCGTGTTGTTAATAATGGAGGAGTCTTGCTCTTGTCTTATAGTGTACTTTTATTTATAAAACACTGCAGCCCTACTTTCGGCTATCCTAGCCGTGCAGATTCTTTCTCTGTTCTTCTCTAGCTGCCACCTAACAACCTTAACACCACAGCGACTCCTAGTGGTAACACTTATCATAACACTCTGCATCTCCTTGCTTTATTTCGATGTCTCCTTCTTGCGACAAAAACCGCTGCCATGTGTGCGCAATTACGCATACAGACCATTTGCACCTTCTTTTGAAACGTGTTAAATATAGAGTCAGATACCGTTAGCAAAATTGCTTTCAGGTTTGATAAATCACTTTGCGAGTGCTAAATTAATATATTTACATGTTCTCCTCCCACAAGACGCACTTTTGCGTGTAAACGCCCCATATTGCATATTCATTGCAGAAAAAGTACTAAATGGATAAGAGGCGCTATTTAGCACGTTTAAAAGACCAAATCCTTTTAGCACGCTGTTGATAGATCAGTTTGTACATTTTTTAGTGTGCGCAGTGAAATAGCTCACGTTTTTATACACGCAAACCTTTGATAGGTCCGGCCCATAGTCTGTATCACATATTTTGAAACCAGTGCAAAAAATAGTGACTGGTTCACTCTCTGTCCTAGTCAATGTCACATCTTTCTGAATCAGTTCTGCTGCCATGGCGGCCAATGCTGTAAACAAACAGACAGATGAAGATTTTTTTTTTTGATCCAGGTGAATTTTTTTGGCTCCTGACTAACTAGAAACACTCACCTGAACACAGGCAGCACAGAGCAGCAGCTGTGAGTAAAAACATTCTGTTCAGTTGTGTTTCCTCTGCTGAACCTGGAGAGAAGTGGTGCAGCTGAGACCAAACAAAGATGAGCTGCTCCATTAGACGAGGGTCACGTGGTTTTTTAGGAGGCCCATCAAACCTACTGTTAAATGTATGCGGTTTTAGTTAAGCAAAAGTATATATCAAATGTTTAAAATGACTTTATGGAGTTCATCTTTTAGTTTAAACTCATTTAGAGTGTTTTTAATCTCTATCTGTCTTGCTAATATTGATATTTCCCTCTTGGCTGGATAAAAGTTTTACCCAAAATACATTTTCTTGTTTTTTTTTTTTTTATATTGTGTTTTTATCCATTGGATGAATTCCCCTGCAAAACTTTAAAAATGTAATTAAACATTTTATTACTTTGTATATTGCATATATTCATATAAAAGGGGCTTTACACAAAACCTTATTGGTGCTAAATACTGGATAATATCCGACAATGTTAAATAATTCATGTAGTTCGATGAATTAAATACAATTGTCTTTTACACTTTAAAAACTTGTTAATCTAGTTTAAGTAAATTTTAGCCTGCCATATTCAGCTTTAATTATATCAAGCATAATTTCCTTACAACAAAATTGTGGCTTGTGAAAACACTGAGTGGCTTGTAACTTAGGAAAACCACTAACCACAGAGAACACAACAAAAAAGTTAATGTCAAGCCCTGGTTAGAGGTGTTTGGAACTTTGTTTTTCCTTAATCCAAGACTCTACATTTCCCTCTAAGTTCTGTAACAATAATGGAATAAATTTCCTCCTCTTCCTCATCATTATCATCATCCTTACTAATCCTAAAACACCTTCTTCTGTGTCTACCAACACTCAAAGAACATTTCCTCACATCTACAGTCAGAATAGTCAATTTAAAGTTCCTCCATTTTTTATTGCTTTTATGTTTCTACACAATGATGTAGCAAAGATCCAAACAAAATCATCTGGTTTTGACTCTACTTTATAATAATTTGCAACGCAGTCCCATGAATCCAAAAAAGGGGTTAAAAGAAAAAAGTTGCACTATTTTTAATGGACTCAAGAGATGACATGTTTCCTGATTGGGAAATATCAGATATTCTTGTGCTGGTTTTCCAAGTCAAAAAGACTCTCACAAGACAGTGATGCGTATGTCTATGGTATTAAAGGGTAAGCTGTGGCACACTTTATTTCACAACAGCATTAAATTAGGCTATAGTGTGTCAGAAAACCTGCTATAAATATTAAATATGTTATGTTTTTAGCAGGTGTTAACGTCCTCACTGTGAGCGAAAGTCTAGTGGACTTGAATTTGAGCCGTTTTTAGAGTTATCTACAGTCTTTATGACAAAGGCAAATGTATTTGTATAGCAGAATTCAGGCACAAAGACAATGCAAAGTGCTTTAGATTATTAAAATTCAGGAAGATAAAACAGAATCAAAGCAAGTAGGAAAAAAAATTAAATAAAATAAAAAATGCAGAAACCAAAAAGAATATTAAAAATAGTTGGACTAAAGAAAATATGTTTTGTTTGTATGTTATTTTTAACTAGAACAGTCGAAGGCAATCCTAAACAAATGTGTTTTTAGTCTTGATTTAAAGAAACTAGGTATGCAGAGCAGGCTGGATCCAGAAGACCTGAGTAGTCTGGAGGGTTGATACACTGATAGCAAGTCTGTGATGTATTTAGGTGCTAAGCCATTCAGAGATGTATAAACTAACAGAAGTATTTTAAAGTCTATCTTAGTCTTAGTGAGAACACGGGCAGCAGAGTTCTGGATCAGCTGCAGCTGTCTGATCCACTTTTTAGGTAGACCTGTGAAAACACTGTTGCAGTAATCAATTCGACTAAAAATAAACGCATGGATTAGTTTTTCCAGATCGTGCTGAGACATTAGATCTTTAATCCTGATAATGTTCTTCAGGTGATAGAAAGCCAACCTTGTAATTGTCTTTAAATGCTTTTGCAGGTTCAAGTCTGAATCCAGTACTATACCTAGATTTCGGGCCTGATCAGTGGTTACTAGCTGAAGTGACGGAAGCTGTGTGCTAACTTTAGATCTCTCCTCTATTGGTCCAAAGATTATTACTTCAGTTTTGTTTTTTTTCAGTTGAAGAAAATGATGGCACATCCAGGCATTGATTTCTTCTAAGCATTTCCTCAGTGCTTGAATTGGTTCATAGTCACCTGGTGACATGGTGATGTAAAGCTGTGTGTCGTCAGCATAGTTATGGTAGCTAATGTTGTTTTTTTTAATTAACTGAGCGAGAGGGAGCATGTAGATATTAAAAAGGAGGGGACCCAGGATGGACCCTTGGGGAACTCCACATGTGATTTTTGTCATCTCTGATGTAAAGTTGCCTACTGACACAAAAAAGTCCCTGTCCTTTAAGTAGGATTTAAACCAGTTGAGAGCTGTTCCAGAGAGGTCGACCCAGTTTTCCAGGCGTTCTAACAGGATGGAGTGATCGACAGTATCGAATGCTGCACTGAGGTCCAATAGTACCAGCACTGTGGTTCTTCCGCAAGTCTTTATTTATACGGATGTCATTAAACACCTTGATAAGGGCAGTCTCTGTACTGTGGTGAGCACGGAAACCTGACTGGAACACGTCAAAGCGGCTGGTCATATCTAAGAAAGTGTTTAATTTTTGAGACACTGCTTTTTCAATAATCTTACTGATAAAGGGGAGGTTTGATATGGGCCTGTAGTTCTGGAGTGGTAGTTTGTCTAAACTGTTCTTTTTCAGCAGTGGTTTGATATTTGCTGTTTTTAGGGACTGCGGGAAAACACCTGACAGAAGGGACGTGTTTATTATCTGAGCCAAATCAGACGCTATGACAGGCAAAACTTTCTTAAAGAAAGCTGTGGGTAGAACATCAAGGCAGCAGGAGAAGGAACTTAGCTGCTGATGGATTGAAAAGTTTTATTTTAGTAACTTTACTCATTAAATGAAACACAATATAGATTAATTCCACACAAACAGATGTTTTCAAACCTTTATATCTGTTAATAATGACAATTTACTCCTTACAACTAATGAAAAAAAAACATTTGATATTAAAAAAATTTAACTAGACTAATAAATATAATATTCTACAGCAAACATTTGTGTCGAATTGTACAACACCTGCTAAAATGTTGTTATTCAATGGTGACGACACTCATCAAAACTCATAATTAAAGTTAAAGACTATGACTAAAAATTTCATTATTATTTAATGGCGGAGGTTAAACCACAAATCTTTGGTTGTGGTTTGCTGCTCTGACATGTGTTGATCTGCAGGTTTTTGTTTAGGCTTCTGGGATCAGTTCTCACTGTGGGAGGCCTTCCAGCAGACACAGAAATAGGTGCCTTCATGTTCCACTTTAACTTCCTTGATCACCAAAGTACAGCCATACTTTTCTTTAGTAGCTGTAAAATCATCTTTGTTAGGATGACTGTAACGATTATTTACATTTCCATCAGTCAAATCAATACGCAGAACAGCTCGAAATGGATCTTTCTCTGTCTTTTGGTACCAGTAAACCTGCTTCTTTTCACAGTTGTCTGTTCCTGAGCACTTCAAAGAGACCGTAGTTTTAGCTTTAGCAACAACCGATAACCTATCTTGGACCAGCTCTGTTGCCATGGCTACCAGCCCTGTAAAGACAGAGAGGCAGATGGTGATTGATGGAATAACATTTGATCCAGGTGAATTTTGCTGGCTCCTGACTAACTGGAAACACTCACCTGAACACAGGCAGCACAGAGCAGCAGCTGGAAGGAAAAGCATTATGTTCATTGGTGTTTCCTCTGGTTAACCTGGAGAGAAGTGGCGCTCTGATGCAGCCGAGACCAAAAAAAGACAAGCTGCTAGATCAGACGAGGGTCACGTGTTTTTTAAGAGGTCCATCAAACCTCCCACAATCCCCTGCTGTGGACTTCTGTTGTAAAAAAGATCTGCAGATTCTTTCTTTACCTAAACTCTGACTACTTTTAGTTTGCATTTGTTCTCATCTTCTGTGACTATAAGCAATGGTGGAAAGAAACAAACTTGATTACTGTACTTAAGTAATTTTTGAGTATCTTTAATTGAGTAATGTTTTGGGGGGCTCATATAACTTTCCCTCCAGTACATTTCAAAGTCAAATATTGTGCTTTCTACTCCACTCCATTTCGAGGAAGCTTCTAGTGACTTGATACTTGTGAAATGCAATTTCAAAATGACAGATTCAAAATGGCAGATTAATGATGTTCCACAAATGTCAGAAACTCTGGGCAGATATTATTTGTAGTATATAAATTTTATTAAGGTTTTATTTGTTGTAACAGTTGTTCAGTAGGAGGAGTTCTCAAATCAGAGTTGTAGTTTCTTTCTAGTAATAGATTCAACCTTAAACCTCTATTCCACTGAGAAAGGGTGAGGAAAATAAAGACCCTCCTGTTTTCTCTTATTTCCCTTATTTTTTGTGGCATTTCTATGCTGAAGTTTTTTTACAGGTGGTGTAGCAGTTGTAGCAGAGTGGTTCTATGCATCAATACATCAAGGTGGTTTCTGAAAGTTACAATCTTCTTTAAAATTATTCTCATAATTATACATAAATGTACTTATATTAGAAAAATTTTTAAAACCTGGATGACTTTTAACTTTCTCCTTCTGAATTCAGACTAAACAGAAGGTATATTCTTTGGACCAGAGTCTTTTAATAAAAGCTGATTAGTCAGTGACTTCATTTCGCTGGGATTAAACTGATTTCAGATAAAAAAGTAAAAAATGTTAGTGTTGTTCTTGATCAGGACCTGTCATTTAAATCCCATATCAAAGAGGTTTCTAGAATTTCCTTTTTTCATCTGAGGAATATTGCAAAAATTAGAAATATCCTGTCCAGGGGTGATGCTGAGAAACTAGGCCATGCATTTGTTACTTCAAGGCTGGACTATTGTAATTCTTTACTATTAGGAAGTCCACAAACTGTAGTTAAAAGCCTTCAGCTGATCCAAAATGCTGCAGCCAGAGTTCTGATGAAAATTAAAAAGAGAGATCATATCTCTCCTATCCTGGCTTCTCTTCATTGGCTTCTTATTAAATCCAGAATAGAATTTAAAATCCTCCCTCTCACATATAAAGCCTTAAATGGCCAAGCTCCATCTTATATTAGAGATCTGATTGTTCCTTATGTTCCTAACAGAGCCCTTCCCTCTCAATCTGCAGGTTTACTAGTGGTTCCTAGAATTTCTAAAAGTAGAATGAGAGGCAGATCTTTTAGTTATCAGACTCCTCTCCTGTGGAACCAACTACCAGTTTTAGTCGGTGAGGCAGACACCCTGTCTACTTTTAAGGGTAGGCTTAAAACTTTCCTTTTGGATAAAGCTTATAGTTAGAGTTGCTCAGGTTATCCTGAGCTATCTCTATAGTTATGCTGCTATAGGTTTAGACTTCTGGTGGACATAGGGACCCCCATTTCATCATTCTGCTTCATTCTCTCTCTATTCTCCTACTCTGCAGAATCTGTTAGTTCAATCTCAAACGTTATGTTATCTCTGCTTTTCCTAAGAGTTGCTTTGCCTCATCTGTTCCTGTTTGGCTGTGACTCCATCCTGGAGAGAAACATTAGCTGTGGTGCTTCCATCAACACACTTGTTTATAGATGCTGGAGATCGGCCTGTTTTCCTGTGTGGTCCTGTTTCTCTGACCGTGACTGGCTGGATGTGCTCTCTTCATCCTCTGACATGGGAGTTGGCTCGGAGCTCGTCTGCCTGGAGGGGGCCGCCTTTTACAGCTGCTTTTTATATCTCTGCTTCTGTCTCCTTGAACCCCAGTCGGCCTCAGCAGATGGCCGCTCACACTGAGCCTGGTTCTGCTGGAGGTTTCTTATTAGTATTAAACATAGCCCTGAGTTCTACTTTTGTTTTTCTTCGATTTGATCTCACCACACGTTTAAGTGATCGCCGATCACGATCATTCAGGATTTTTTTTCTGGCCACATTTCTTCCCTGAAGATGATGGGTCCCCACTATCCCTCCAGTTTTTAATAATGCATTGGACAGTTCTTAACCAAATTTTAGAAGTTTCTGCAATCTCTTTAGATGTTTTCTCTGCTTGATGCATGCCAATGATTGGACCCTTCTCAAACAGACTAACATCTTTTCCACGACCACGGGATGTGTCTTTCGACATGGTTGTTTAGGAAATGAGAAGCAAGTCATTGCACCAGTTGGGGTTAAATAACTTGTTGCCAGCTGAAAGATAATCGCACATGCAGTAATTATCCAATAGTAGGCTTGTACCTATTTGCTTAGTTGAATTCAGGTGCCGACTTTCTTTTTTAGCCAGGCAGTGTTTATATATATATATATATATATATATATATATATATATATATATATATATATATATATATATATATATATATATATATATATATATATATATATATATATATATATATAATACGTATATTCCTATTTCATTTCTTTTGGTTTTCCTCAAATGTATTTATTATTTCTGTTTTTATTTTCTTGCTTCTGTAATTTAGGACAGCTATGTTTCTTTCAGAAAAATGTCAATGTTGTAATTCAAAAAGGATATTACATAGAAAATAAAACCATAAAAAATTGCAAAGAACTCTGTGCCTTCAACGAAGTTAAACACATGTTCTGACCTTTGGAACTGACCGCTTTCACTGTGACAAACAAAAGTTATGTACTTTCATGAATTTCATTAGCTAAAAATAAAGGAGTAAAGCTGATCTCTGGTGGCCAATTCGAAGCAGTAAGGACTCAGAGTCATGTTTGTTTAATGTTTGTCATTATTGAAAAGACTTAAAAAAACTTCTGTTATTCTATAAATCCCTGAGTGGCTTAGCTTTAAAGGTATAGTGGAGGATGTTATTTTTCTGGGAGAGGAAGGGTCTTTTCAAAAATTTGTGAAAATCCTCCACTCTACCTTTATAGCAAATTACAAAGTGGTTGCCAATGTATCAATGCCCCAGAGCTCTCAGTTATTCTGATTCGGATCTACTCTGCATACACCAGGGCCGATCAGACCCTATCCTCCCAGAACCAAACATGGAGAATCAGCTTTTAGTTCTTATGCTGCATTAACCAGAAAAAAACTCCCAGAAAACAGTAAAGAGCTGAAACCCTAAAGCCCCGTTTACAAAAGCCTTCTGAAACTGTGCCAAGAATGGTCCAAGCTCAGTAACCGAGATAGCTGTAGACGCAACGCAACTGAACTGGAGCGTGCCAGACTCAACCAAACTGCGCTAAATCTTGCACTAGTTCAACAGCAGGGCTCGGCACGGTTCAGTTGTGGCTCAGTTCTTTGATAGCAAAAAATGCATGAGAAGACTGCGTCATCTCCTTTATACAGTCAGCTGACTAATTTCATGGGTTTTCTGGCGTGTCCAGCTTTGCAACTCATAGATTTCTTCACTTTTTCAAAACACAAACTTATTCTCAGCGTATTAACAATAAATTACATCAAAAGAGCGCAGTGCAGCCTGGGATGCTTCAGAGACCGAGGCTCTCATTGAAATTTGGGCTTAGAAGGCTATCCAGATACATTCGTTCCTGAATGTTATGGGCACCACCATTTTTGTTTGCCTAATTCCTGTCTTGAGAGGTGTAGTATCGTTAACCAACGATAGGCGACGAGGAATCGTGCTAGCGTGATGTGCAGATGGTCCTAAACAACCAAGCCCGACACAGTTAACTGTGTGTTACTTTGATAAAAACTGAACCTCCCCCCTTAATGAGCCAAAAACCCAGAGGACTCCGTGGGGGAGGAACAGTGGACAATCAGGAGACAAGACAAACACTAAAACCCTCTTTCCACTGGCAGCTAGGATCCAGGACATGAACCAAATAAAAACTGAACAGAAAGACTGACAGAGAGACAAGCAATGATCTGGCACTGAATGACCAGAGGAAACAGGTGAGAGGAATAAATTATAATTGAGGCAGGGAAGGAAGAGTGCAGGTGAGAGGAATTACCAATTAAGGGAGAGCAAACAGGCCAGATCATGACAATTTCCCTCTTGGCTGGATAAAAGTTTTACCCAAAATACATTTTCTTGTTTTTTTTTTCTATTTTGTTTTTATCCATTGGATGAATTCCCCTACAAAACTTTTAAAATTTTATAAACATTTTATTACTTTGTATATTGCATATATTCATATAAAAGGGGCTTTACACAAAACCTTATTGGTGCTGAATACTGGATAATATCTGACAATGTTAAATAATTCATGTAGTTCAATGAGTTTATACAATTGTCTTTAACACTTTAAAAAGTTGTTAATCTAGTTTAAGTAAGTTTTAGCCTGCCACATTCAGCTTTAATTATATTAAGCATACTTTTCTAACAACAAAATTGTGGCTTGTGAAAACGCTGAGTGGCTTGTAACTTTGGAAAACCACTAACCACAGAGAATACAGCAAAAAAGTTAATGTCAAGCCCTGGTTAGAGGTGTTTGGAACTTTGTTTTTCCTTAATCCAAGACTCTACATTTCCCTCTAAGTTCTGTAACAATAATGGAATAAATTTCCTCCTCTTCCTCATCATTATCATCATCATTACTAATCCTAGTGTTGGGATCTGGAGGTCTGTCCACCTTCCTCCAGCAGAGGGCGCCTCTAGGTCTCCTGGAGCTGAGCTGACGACCACACCTGCGATCCATCAGTCATCAGGAGACCAGTATATAAGCAGCAGCAGGACTACACTCCGGCAACAGAGTGTTAAGCCAGTTATGGTTAGCAAAGCCTGAGCCAACCGGCCTGTCTGATTCTCTGACTCCCAGAACTTTGAACTTGAATCTGATCAGTTTTTGTCTTCTCTGCCTTCTAGGAAGAA